GAACTTGAGATGTTAGCTCTAGGCAACTCAAGACTATTTGCTTAGTCTCTTCGCCCTAAATTAAACAATAAAATCTAATTTATATATTTAATTATTAATTGAAAAGGTAAGTAATTATGTATTCGATAATATCGATTGGGATACCGAGGTACCGATTGGGATACTGAAATTATTTAGGGATTGAGATTGGGATACTGAAATTATTTAGGGATTGGGATTGATTTTAGGGTGTAATTCGGTATTCGGAATTTCGGTATTTGGTATTGGGATACCGATACCGTACCGATTTCCACCCATAATAGAGAGTTTCGGCTGGGGAGGAAGAGAGATGGGAGAGAGAAAATAAAAAATATTTATTTAATTTATTTTTATTTTCCACCTCACATTTTCAATTGACTAACCATTACCAACTCATCAATTCCGTTAGTCCAGTCAGTCCGTTACTTGACATCGTCAAACAATTGGACGGAAGTGGCTATTTTTGGTATTTCGTCAAACGTGGCTATATTTGGCAAAACCGCAAAAGTTTTGACTATACAAATGTATTTTGCCAATATATTCTTTCTACCGTACATATAAGTAGATTCTGGCTGGAAACCTTCAATTTACTTTTTCCTGGCCTCCCCGCAAAGCAAGGGAGGATTTTTCAGTCTTTATACATCCCAGAATTGGTTGCATGAGCTACTACGGGCAATGCACTTGGATTCCGGTTCTCCCGCCCCGTAGTCTATTGAATTTTTCGAATTTCAACTAAATACAAAAATATAAACGATATGATTAAATCTTTAAACTGCGTGCATTAAGTGTATTATGGGTTTTAATATGTGAAGTATCAACCAAACAAATTTTTTTAAAAGAAACAGCTCTATAATATAACTAGTTTTTTACCCGGTTAGTTGGCCGGCGAACTTCATTTTATTATTTATATTAGTTAATTATCTACATGTTTGAATTTTTTGGATATTGTATACATTTTCTGTTCTCGCTTCATAAGTAAATATGTGGTATGCCTATATCGAAAATTCTTAATATTTAATAGTTAGCACACTCGCTTGTGATGTTTTTATTCTCTAATCATAAATCATGTCGTAAAGATTTATCACGTCCCATTTAAGATCGTATATAAAAAACTTTCCACCAAGACGCTCAAATTTATTATCTTATACAACAAATATTAATTCATGATTCTCGAGTTTGTACGAACTCTCAGCCAATTAATCAGAGTTCAAAATATTGGAAAAAGATACTTGATTACTGGATAAATTATGTTTATCCCAATTGAAATTTGACACACATTGTATCCCTTATAATGATTAAATTCTCTAAACCTCACTCATTTTTATTGTTGATGTTCATGAAGTCTTTGTATAGCAACTTATGACAATTTTTCTATCAAGATACAAATTATTATTATCTTACAATATATATCAATTGCTAATATTTTAAGTTTGGACTAACCCTCAACCCATGCCTTCTGTCTAGATGTTCATTTAGAATATGAATCCAAGGAATTCATATACACTATCGAAGGTTCTCATCTTAACATGTTCCTTCAATGTATAATTTTTCAACTATTAGAATGTCCATTCGCTAAAATTTCTTTATATTTCTAGAACAAAAATTTTGTTACTTATATTAATAATTGGTAAAGTGTGTATACGACAGACAAATATTTCAGGTGCATTCAAAATTATGTATTCGTTGAATAATTAACTTATAATTTTTTAAAATTATTTTGTAGCAAAATTTAAATGTTCATACAAACATTGTGGCTTTTCACATGTATTTAAATAATTGGATGTAATGTAGCACATCTATTGTTAATATCTAAACATATATATACAGAAAGTTTCAACACTAATTAATACCTTTGAACTCAACTCCTTGGGTGGAATATCATATCAATTTTTTTGTTATTGCCAAATTTTGGTACGAAATCCCAGGCTCATAACTATATAGGCTTGTTACAATTTTCTTACTAAGCTCATATTTATTAAATATTCTTCTTTTGACCCAATAGCTCGGTTCCACTATTGTAACAATAATTTTTTTTTGTTATATATGTGAAGTAAACATTAATGTTTATATATTACCTCAATCGTCGAATTTAGATTTTTCTTAACATGAAATGTGATGTTTAACGTACATCTTTAACAAAGATTTCTCTAGATTTAACACATTTCATTTTTCAAGGGATCTCGTGTCTCATCCTAGAATATGACATCAAAGTTCATCAACTATTATACTCAAGTCATTTTGGAAACTTCAATTTATAATCTTTAACAATAAATAAGTTCAATAGAGCTTGCTCAATCAACATGACCTAGAGAAAATATTAGTAATGTGAACTTAGGATACATTATAAATACTGCACATACGATTCATATGTTTTCACTTGATCTGAATGAATAAGAAGCCTTTTTAATAAATAACTATTATTTCTAGGTCAAGTTTCTTTCAGACCTTATCGACATAATATTATTATTTTTGTGTGTTTGTTTACTTATTCATTAAAATGTAAATTATTATTATTAAGTTTTAGTAAAAATGAGCAAAAATTTACATAGTAATCTTTAATCATATATTTTGTTTTGTTTAAAAAGTGTGATATATATGTCACTCTACATACATTAGTATACTGTTGCGTACATCAATATAATGCAAAAACAAAATGTGATATATGTCACTCTCCATCATGATTGTCACATCGGTCGGCATGCCACCGGTTGAACAATTCAACCGGTACCGGTCATGAAATCGACATGACACCATCGGTATGACTGGTATGATCGTTTTACGAATTTCTAAGTATAATACGTAGTTTTAGTGAATTTAAGTATGAGTACATGTAATTTTATTTGAAATATCATATTTTATTCAAATATCAATATGAATTGTACGTAAATTGTCTTCAAATATGGTTATATAGGATCAAATTCATTTGATATGAATGATTAAACCGGTTGTACCACTGGTAAAACCATTTCACTTGCTAAACCGGTTTGATAACCTTTCTCGCCATATATTATTGATAGATATAATGCAAAAACAAAAACAAAATAATTATTGGATAAAAGAGATTAAGTATTAAATGAAGAGAGAGGGACAACTCCATAAATAGGTCAATAACTATTTTTTTGGTAAAAAAGTTGTCCACCTTGGCCACTTGAGATCTCTCCAAGTGCTTATGTGGCAAAAATTTAATTTTGAATTGCCATAATATTATGTATAGATAGATAGATAGATAGATAGATAGATAGATAGATAGATATAGATAGATAGATAGTAAACGAGACTTTTTAACACATTTAACACGTAACAGATTTTTACTAACTATTTTGGCATCCATCAACGTAGATGCTATTATATCATAGAAACAAAGTTTAATATTGTTTTCCATCTAACAATTCACAAATATGGTAACTTCTTCTTGGTTGGTTATTGTTGGCTCCAACGTTAGAACCTAGAGTATAATGGATATTCTCATCCCCACATTATTACTAGATCTATCACTTAAGATAAACAAATATGTTTAGCATGATCTAAGAAAAATCAGTAAAAAATTGAATTTCTAATCAATTAGAAAATTACTAATATCATTGCTTTCGTTTCGCATATGCGTGCAAATTCAAAAACATTTATTAAAAAGTTTGAGCCTCTAGGAAAAACATAAAGTGTTTTCGAAGTGTCCTCCCACACATATAAGTAGGTTCTCACTAGAGACCTATTCAATTAAACAAGTAACTATATATATATTTTAAGAATTTGAAAGTTACTTGGGCAAAAAGCAATTACATGTTGATTTCGAAAAAATTGTTTATGAAGTTCAAATAATTTATTGATGTCCAAATACATGACAATACTAGCTTATTCGGGTACATAAAATATATTGTGAAGATAACTTTGTGAACCAAAACTATTACTCAATTCAATAAAATTATATTCTTGGTAAGGCAACTAATGTTATGTTCATTTTGGCCATTTCATTCCTATGTCTCTGGATATCAAGGTACGTAAACATTTCTTATTTTATTGATGTATTACTTGAGATGTTAATGTCGGTGATTGGCCAACTTTGAGGGTGAAAATTTATTCGCTTAAATTGAAGCTACCTTGATGCTATGGTCTAATCTTGATATTCCTGAAGTGATTGAGTTTCACTTAAGGTAACATTCTTACGATATTGGAAAATCGTTCTTATTAAGTTGAAATAAAAATACATCTGAAATTAGTTTATTTTATTTTTTATGATAAAAAATGAGATCAACCTCCTTTGATTGCTTGAGAAAAGACTATCCAATATCCCTACTATTACATTACAAGAACTTAATGACTTGGAGTGGAAGTATGCGAACAAGGTAAATGTCAGCTTGAATTTAATGATGGGCTAAATTACACGTTTGGTCACTCAAATTATCAAATCTTTCACGTTTGCCACCCGAATTACTTTTCTTTCTTATTCGCCATTAACTTTACGAATCGTTTCACGATTGGTCACCGGCCGTTACACTCCGTTAAGTTTGTCCTACGTGGCAGTCAACTATAAAGTTTGACCGTTAACTAGATGACGTGGAAATTAAAAAAAAAAATTCTTTCCACCTCATCATTGCACTTATTTTGTCCATTTATTTGTACATCACCTTCCCACTTCCTGCCCCCAAGAGCTCCCTATATCTATCCCATCCGTCTCCTTAATTCAGCTCCAACGCTTCCCAGCTCATTTCCCTTTTTTTCTTTCCCTCTTTCCCCACGAAACCCTAGATTCAGAAACTTCTCCCTGAAATCGAAACTTCGCAAGCATAATTGATCAAAACCCACAAAACAAGCTAACACAATCGAAGATCGAACAAAAAAATAACCGCTAGAATCTCCCCATCGATATGACGAGTTGCGGATTGACAATGCCAGGAACCGACGCCGCTCTCTTCGGCGCCTCACCTTCCTCCACCAGATTACCCGACCCGGTTCTCCGGGTCAGGCCTTCTCTGGGTCGCCCGTAAATGGTGTCTTTCAGGACCAGAGCCACCACCATGAACGGAACCGCATGTACGGCTGCGGCGGAAATGAGCATCTACGATCTGCTGGGGATACCGGAGTCGGTGAGCCTGAGAGATATTAAGATGGCGTACAAGCAGCTGGCGAGAAAGTACTACCCGGACGTCTCGCCGCCCGATCGGGTCGAGGAGTATACCCAGAGGTTCATTCGGGTCCAGAAGGCTTACGAGACGCTGTCGGATCCCTGACAGAGGGCTCTCTACGACCGCGATATGGCCAGAGGGCTTCACCTCTCCTTCTCCGCTAGGAGACGTTCTTCATACCATGACGACGAGGTAATTTTGTCTTCCATTCTTTCTCCCCCCGTCCCCTATTTTTCCATCTCTGGTTTTGGGGAATTTTGGGCTGGTTGGGAATTGGGTCATTTGGGTGAACATACTTCATTTCTCTGCCAAGTCTCTTCGTTTGGTACCGAATTTGGAAGTTTTAGAATTCATCTTTTATTAATTTACTTTTGGTACCAATTCCCCTGTTCTGTCTACTCTTTCAACAGAAGGTCTAAAGACCTATGCTTTTAGATACCCTTTTGCTTATTCTTGTTGAATGTCCAAAATTACAAAGGAATTTCGGCTGATCCGATTTGGGTTTTTGATACTCTGCAGGAAATTGGTGAAAGAGGAGACTGGAGAAATCAGTGGCAGTCACAGGGAGAGCTCCGGGAGCCACTTGGAAGCGTAGTGAGCGCCGATGGAGCTGATGAGGTCGGGGCGGACGCCTTTGGACTTGATGCCGGGGATAGTCTGGTGATTGAACGATGAAGTGGATGGTGAGGGTGAGGATGATGAGCATTTGGATTTGCCTATTTTTATAATTTATTAAATTTTATTAAATTATTAATATGATAAATTATATAGACAAAATAAGTGCAATGATGAGGTGGAAAGGAAAATAATTTTTTATATTTTTTTAATTTCCACTTCATCTAGTTAAAGGTCAAACTTTATAGTTGACTGCCACGTAGGACAAACTTAACGGAGTGTAACGGCCGGTGACCAACCGTGAAACGATTCGTAAAGTTAGTGGCGAATAAGAAAGAAAAGTAATTCGGGTGGCAAACGTGAAAGATTTGTATAATTTGAGTGACCAAACGTGTAATTTAGCCATTTAATGATTGACTAAGATACAAATCCAAATTATTTTCTTTAGGCTAAATTGTATTTTATCCAATGCTAAGTTGACAAATTTAAGAATAGTGATGAAGATTCTTGATGATAAAAAAAGGCGATACCGGTTATTTTGGAGTACACATAAAATTGTGTCGTTAAGTTTGATATGAGTTAATATACCTTTGCATAAGTCCTAGCTTTTGAATTTCAACCAGAATCTGTATAGAAGGCAAATGTTAGTAATGTTTATGATGGATGCTAATTTTAAGCAATTGAATATTTTGACTTTCTTAATGGTAAAAATTAGAAAATTACCTTGCTAGCTATTTTATAAAATTGATACTATTGTTTGTTAATTCGCACAACATTAACATATAATCCTGGCAAGAATATAAGAGAAGAGGATATCGCTAAAATTTAAACTTTGAAACTTTGTTAATTACTATTATCATATTGCAAACGACCAACTAACCGGAATACAATTTAGTATCCACTCTTATATTTCCACATGTCAATTTGTCATTCCTACCAAAAGGCTAGCTATCTATACACCACGTGTGAATACTGGTGATGGCGAAAATTAGTATGATATTCTAATTTCTTAGGTGGGACTAGGGATGGCAATGGGTCGGGTTTTGTCAAACCCAAACCCATGGGTTTATCCGTCAAAAAAACCCGGGGTAAAATCCGTTGGGTTTGAAAAACTCAAATCCAACCCAACCCGCTGGGTATCCGCGGGTTCATGGGTACCCATGGGTTTTTCTAGTAAAAAATTTACAATAACAAGTTTCTTTCAAAATAAAAGTTTAACTTCAATTTTCTCATACAAATTAATCATACAAAAAACACCAATCTAGAGCATACAAGCAAACCGCAAATGATCAATACAAATTGTTCAAAATTAAAGATAAACATCTATGAACAATAAGATTAATTGAAAGTTTATTCCTCGTCAACTAAGTTTTTTCACTCTTCACTTTATAATATCAACTTCATTCTAAACAATTAGAAAGAACAAATTATACATGTCTCCATAAATATAAAGAATATTAGTTGTTTAATGAAGATATATTATTTAGAATATTAAATATACCGGGAAAGTAATTATATGTGTGTGGACGGGTACCCATGGGGCGGGTTTACCTAAACCCAAACCCAACCCGACCCGGTGAATAGTGTAGCGGGTTTAAACCCGAACCCGGCCCAAAACCCATCAACACGGGTTTTATCCGCGTTGACCGGGTTGGGTCGGGTGGGTACCCGTGGGTTTGGGTTTTGTTGCCATCCCTAGGTGGGACGTGGGCCGTGGAGTATGGTACTCCAATAATTGTTTTTGACATGTGTTGTCCTTTCATTAAATTTGTTAGTTGAGGAGGTCCCCAAAACTCCAATTCATGACTACAAGGACCATCAAGTTATACAACTAGTACTACTAACTACAACCACAATGTTAGGTGTTGTGTAACAATTAACAAAATGCCTTATATGCTATTTAGTTTGAGCTTTTGAATAATTTTCATTTAAATGCTAAGAGATAAAGTTGATGATGAAGGACAAAGCAACTATGTTATTAGTGATCGACTGATAATCACGATTTATAAAATTAGTTTGTTATGATCTAAATGGTGTTGTTATACTAACAACATGATTTATTAAGGGTATAAGGATAAATTTACCTAAAATCTAATAAAATAATAATTAAATTATATTTAGCCCACCCACCCCGTTAGATCTCAGTTCTTCGTCGCGATCGGAATGCTTCGTCTCCTTCACCAATCACAGGGAAATCTCGCTGAGAATAGGATCGTCGAGGAAAAGTTCGGGCCAATTACTATAAGAAGAAGTCACCCCGCCGGCGTAGCTAGAGCTGCTGCTGCTACCACCATCCCCGTCGCCTGCCGCTGGATTGCTGTTGGAGGATGACGGTAGAACAACCGCCGCCGGCCACGAGCTCATCATCTCCGCCGACGAGGGAATATCGACATTATGACTGGTTAGCGTCGGAGAAGGGCTGCTACTGCTTATTGTTGTTGTGGTGGTTAGCGTCTCGGGTCGGGCTGAAAGGTGGGTTGTGTAAGTTGATTGAAGAAGCTGCTTTGAGGAACTTGAGTACGTTGTGATGGTTGTTGTTCTTGGCCGGTGGCGAGAAAGGATTTTCCATTGTTGGTGAGAAACTGGACTGTAAAAGGTTATATGACTGAGGCGCTGTTGTGGTGGGTGGCGCTCTATTTCGGCTGGTAGCGGGATTTGACAGGGTGGCGGTTGTTAGAAGTACTAATCAACCGGATACTAATCAACTTACACATAGTTAATTCGTTAAATGCCATCTTTTGATTTGGAAACTAAGGGCCCGTTTAGTATTGTTGCTTGTTTTTGTTGTCTGTTTTGTTTTATGAAATTTGGAAAACCAAGAAAAAAAATCTTGTTTAGTTGGGTTTTTATTTTCTGTTGTGAATCAGAGTTGCACAACAAGGCCCAAATATGAGAAACAATAATTTATTGCTTTGGATTTGATTCTTAAACATGTTGCACACGGGATTCCTACGGGTTGTTCACTTGATTTCATTAAACCAGACCACTTTTCGAATCCCCACAGAAGCAAAAAAATTTCTTTTTTTTAACTCAGCCCCTCACCCCCCCAAACCCTACTTCAACATATCACTATCAGCCGCCCCCCATACCATTTTCCATCTTCTTCTCGACGACAGAGGAGTTCACCTCCGAAGGTCGCCCTCGCCCAGCCTCCGGCGCGACCCCTCCGCCTCCGCCCAGCGCCGCCTCGCCTCCGCCCGCGCAGCCGCCCAGCCCGCCGACGTTCGCCCGCGCAACCGCCGCCGACGCCCTGCCTCCGCCGCCAGTCCGCCGACCGCCGACCACTTCCCCTCCATAAACGCCTTACTCCATCTCTTTTTTGGTTTTTAGTTCTTATAGTAGTAACTAAACGCGTTTTTGTTTCTTGTTTTCAGTTTTCATGATTTATCAGATTTATCAACTAAACAGGTTTGTGTTTTCTGTTTTTTTCCTGTTGTGGTTGTACATCTGTTTACACAACACCACTGCAACCACAACAACAACAAAATGATACTAAACGGGGCCTAAGGTTTGTGTCACCTGTTTTCATTCTTGATCACTTGTATTAGTATTTGCTATATAGTAGGATGGTGATTGGCGGCTGGTTTAAAGGAAACTATAGTGCAATTTCTTCTACAAGAAGGTTCGTGACATTTTTACTCATGCAAAATCAAACAAGCATACCATAAATACCACAAAGTATATCACAATTATTTCGAAAGCATACAAAAAACCTCCTAATGCAGACCATTAATTGCCTAAAACATACTATAAACACCACAAAACAAACCAGAAATATTTCTAAAGCACACCAGAAACTTCATAATACAAACCACAATTACGGTAAAACAAACCACAAAAAGCATACTAGAAATCTCCCAATGCATACCACAAATCCCCTAAAACAAACCAAAATCCTCACAAAGTAAACCACAAATATTTCGAAAAGCACACAAGAAATATCCTAATGCAAACCACAAACACGATAAAGCAAACCACAACAAAAAAAACCAAAAACGTCCTAATGCATACCACAAATATATTAAAACAAACCAGAAACCCCGCAAAGCAGATCACAAAATTTTCGAAAGCACACCTAAACTTCTTAATGCAAACCAGAAACCTCCGAATGCATACCACAAATCTCCTAAAACAAACGACAAACCTCACAAAGCAAACCACAATATTTGCGAAGCACACCGGAAACCTCCTAATGCAAACCACAAACATAGTAAATCAAACCATAAACGTCCTAATGCAGACCACAAATATATTAAAACAAACCAGAAACCCCTCAATGCAAACCACAAAGTTTTTGAAAGCAAACCATAAACTTCTCAATGCAAACCACAAACACGATAAAGCAAACCACAAACTTCTTAATGCAAACCACAAACACGATAAAGCAAACCACAAAAGGCATACAAAAATGTGAGAAACCAAACCATAAATCTCACAATGCAGACCATAGCATCCGGTGGTCGTTGACCGGTCAAGGAAGTTCGTTGACCGGTCACGAACTTCGTTGACCGAACTTCGATGACCGTCAGTTACCGGATTCCGACGCCGATAGGCATATTCCGGCCCCGATGACTAGATTCCGACGCCGGTAAGCATATTCCGGCGACTGTGCATATTCCGATGAGAAAATAGCATATTCCGGCGACGAAAAGCATATTCCGGCGACCAAAATTTTGGGCCGAAAATAAAAAATTATTTTTATTTTTTAATTATTTTTATTTTTTATTATTATTTAAACATATTTTTCATAATGACAATTATACCCCTGCTTTGATTTTACACTAGGTCAACTCATCTAATAAAAAGTCATCACAATCCTAGCTTCCTATTGGTTGGAGACTAGTGTTGTTATAGTATCTAGTCCCGATCTAAATTAGTAAGAATAAGATTAGACTTTGAACCATTTTTTTCGGTCCTTACAATATGTATCTGATAATCTCAAACTTAATCCGAAAAGTAAGATGCAACTTGAGATAAGTTTATCGACATAATGGATTTGTTAGAACAAAAATTGATTCTTTGCCTGTCTTTCTCCATCTTTAGTAAATTAATAAAATACATAGAATTTGCATCGTGTCATAGATATTAACATTACTAAAGTCACGCACACTCATTTAGACCCTAATTTTCTTCTCATTCTCTTTCACCAGGGCCATCCAATCCAAGCAATGATTAAGAAATTCTATCGTATTTGTCGGTTAGACCTGAAATACCGGATACCGAGCCAAAAATTGTGGGAGATTTTAGTGGTAAAAAATGGTTGAACCACGATTTTAATACAAATAAATGAATAATTTTTCCGATGGCCCTAGTAGGCCGCCCGCCCTACCTAAACCAATCATCATATTGGTCCCTAGAAAAAGTAGGGACATCGTGCGTCCTTGAATCGATAACCATCTTTCGGCTAACCTAGCCTCCTCCGTCCCTCAGGACCAACAAAGGAGTAGTACATGAAGAGTTTCCTTAAATCCAAAATCCGCAAAGAATCCGGAGAAAAAGGGTTCGTCGACAAATGGATTCCGATTCCTTCTCCGGTCCACTTGCTTCACTAACTTACCCCACGCGGGGGGTTCGGTATAGCAGCTCACGTTCGTTTGCGCAGCCTTCCCGCTGGACTGGAGCAAGCTCGTCTTTTTTTTTTATTATTATTTTGATAGAGGGGATGGAGAAAGTGGACAAAAAAAAAAAGTCTAACTCAAAATTTCATAAAAAAAAAAAATATGAGTCCAAAGGCAGGGTAAGAAGGGGTTTAGCTAATTTGGATATTATTTCTCTTCCGGGAACCAGATGTCACGACAAAAGTCTCGGGTTCGAACCCCGTTTTCCCTGCCCAATCATGCCACAAGAATGGAAGAAGTCCTCCATTGAATTGCATGACAGCATGAGGTGGGAAAGACAGGTTCGGAATTTCACAAACCTTGAATCCAAGTGACAGATTTGTTAGTAACTCAAGAATCTGGCGACCTAATAATTAATGGGCTCCAGAGCCCAGACTAGCAGTACCATATGGTAGATTCCCCTAAAGCATAGGGATCAAACTGGAACTTATCTATCAGTTTCGTCTCGTTTCAAATCGCCGAACGACTGAACACACAAAGCGCATTTTTGGTTGTCTATTGATTTTTTTTTTCCTCCATTGCCGTAGTCCGCTCCTTCTGTTGTGTACTATGTTGCCCTGGAAGTCTGCATCTTCGTCCCCACCCTTTCTGTCCTTGTGATCGAGTCTCCAGTCCTCCCTTGTTCTTTCAGTTGGTTCCCTTAAGAATCCAATACACCTTTGGTTTCTTCTCCCACAGCCTTTTGTCTTGCTCTGCCAGGATCACTATATAGTCTCTGGATGCTCCTTCTTCTTCTTCTTCTACGTACTGATGATATATCCCTGTTACTGATTTTTGTCATTAGAGGTTACTGAAGAGTGATATTTTTTCACTTGGGTCTTTCTTCGTTGGTCAGATCAATGGACCGTAAGCAAAAAGTTCGAGGATTTTCCTGTTCGATTCACCAGGTAACTTCTTCCCTCTAGCATTAAGCTTTTAAGCGCAAGAATGTCTGTTAGGTATGCTATCGCAGTCGGAGTAGTGGGGATTTTGACTTATGAACTTCCCAAATCCGTTATGTGTGAAACAGACGGGGTGGTCAAATATGTTTCCCATAACGCTGTTTTTTGCTGTATGGAGCAATGGAAATCAGAATTGGAATGCATCTTTTTTCTGGGTTAGTTGAGTTAGCTAGGTATTGATATTGGGGGTTGTTCTTGGCAATTTTGTACAGATTGGGAATCTGGGACTCCGGCTGTTGTGGAGTATGGTACACCTACTTATCAGCATAGGTTACTTTGTAGCTGCAGCTGCTAAAGCTGTTGAAAGCCGTATAATCTCCAGCGGGCTGCTCACTCGTTACAAAGAGCTTAACATCAGCAAGCTTAAGTACTTGGCGGTTGTGATAGAGAGTGATGATGCTGTTCAAACTTCCAAGATTGTTCAGCTCTTGAGGTGGCTGGAAGCTATGGGGGTGAAAAGAATGTGCCTGTACGATGCACAAGGTAAAAATGGCTGTTGTGTACATCATCTTAGCTCCTTAGTACGGCAATTTGTCCTCAATCTGAACATGGTGGGGTTCTCTTCTTTTTTTGTGCTTGTACTGTAGGAGTTCTTAAGAAATCGAAAGATTCGATAGTGAAGATGTTGGATAATGCAGTTCTCTTGGAGGTAAAATCTTCATCCTACTTGTTTTTAACTTCGTTTCGGATGTGTTCCAGAATTTGGTCTTGACCATTGAATGGTGCTAGCTAGTCGAATTGTTATCACTGTGAAGGCATAAAACCAGATTCGTTAGTGTGTTTTGTGTTGTTTTTATTTATGATTTTGTCCTTTCCGTGAATGATGGATGAGCTACTAATAACATGAGGCAACTGAAAAATGTGCAAGTAAATTTCTATAATGATGACATATTTCCCCTGAATTTCGGTTTTTCCTGCAGGAACTTGGTGAGAAAGATTTGATGGAAAAGCCGAAATGTATGGCTCTTGAATTTGCTTCGGTGTCTGATGGAAAGGAAGGGGTGGTCAAGGCTGCGAACTTGCTCTTTGCCGAGTATAAGGAACTTGGAAACCGTGATGAGCAGTTTTTTACTGAAGCTAAAATCGGGGAGGCTTTAAGAGCTGTAGGTTTGTTCTACTTCTCTCAGATCATTTTGAGCAGTTGGATTTATTTGTTTGATTGCTCTTTCCGATCACAAAGTTTGTAACTTCTGGAAATGAAATCTTTCTCCTTCAGGTTGCAAGGGGCCAGAACCTGACCTACTATTGGTTTATGCACCGGTGAGATGCCATCTTGGTTTCCCTGCTTGGAGAACTAGATACACAGAGATAGTGTAAGTAGTTTGGTTCAGTTATGCTTTGAAATTTCTGTTTTCCTGTAATGCAGTTTGGTTAATGACCTTGAACTTGCCCCTACTAGAATGAAATAATATAACACTGCAGCATAGAGCCAGCTGCTTTGATCTCGTAACACTGGAAGTCTCGTGTGAAAAAAGATTGTTCTGTGGAGGGATTTGTGCTTATATTCTAATCAGCTAGATGAATAGAGGGCTTGATAGGAATAGGATTGATGTGGTGAAAGGAATGGGGCCGTCTGATTTAAAACTGTTTCAAGTATTACCCAGTATAGATTACCATGCCCATTGCAGTTAATCACGATTTCATGCTACAAGGATCTCTTAAGTGTTGTGCCTTAATATCCATTCTTGGACAAATAGCTCGGTCTCTGTCCAGCTCGTATGACTAAGCGGGTTTCGGGATAATTATGTGGAGATATTTTGTAAATGGTCATATGGCACTAAAGCAGAGCTGAAGTTTCATGCTCTCCTTTGATTATAGATGGAAGTTGGACCTCTTGTCTCTTTAAGATGCTCTGTAATGCCTAGTGCTTTTTTTGGAAAGTTTTTCGGTTTGAATCCATAAGCTCGTTATTAGAACTAGTCAGTGAATGGCTTCCCCAAACCATCAATACCCTAAGAACTGATTTGTTGTTTTTCATACTCCACTCTATTAAATTCTGCTCCATTAGCAGACAAACTGTGGTTTTTAAGAACTGAATCATTCGTGACACTCGGTATTACACCATTGATGCTTTCGTGTTCTTATTTGTGCGAGATTGAGGGGGGTGCATGCAGTGATTTTGATTTGAGTTCTACAGAAGGGTTTCTTTTTTGATGAACTGATGATTATGTTGGTCTGTTGCAGCCATATGGGATCATTGAAGTCAATGAGCCTTGGCTCCTTAACAAAAGCAATTTACAAGTTCACCAGGGTGCGCCAAAACTACGGTAAGGGTTCTTCAACGACTTCAATATAGCCGTACAGTTTCACAAAGATCGACTTCTGAGAGCTGGTTCGTTTTTGCTTAACCATGTTTGACAGGGAAATGAGCGACTGATGCAAATGGGGGAATGGACATTTGCAGCAAAAGACCGAGTCATGGATGGTCTGGAATTGCAGCAAACAACTTGGGTTTTCGATACACGTGTTTATTGGTTAACCAGCTCTCATAAATCAGGATTCGGCTGTACCTATCATCTTTGTGTTGTAATTTAGGAAAAGATGAGAAGCCTCTTTGCACCCCATGGTGCTATTATTTTGCTTCCTTTATTTGCTGTAAACTCATGAACAGCTGGAGGAAAAAAGATAGAAAACAAAAAAAGACTTGGGATGCTCTCTTCATCTATTGCCCTGCCTTCTCGTGTGCAATAATAAGAGAAATCAGAAATATCGAAAACAAAACTTAATGGTAGGAATTGGCATTGCCTAGTTCTTGTGTGTGAAGAAACTTACAAATTCAATTCCACTTCAGGACGAAGTAATTAACAATACATGCAACTATAAGTTTCTCAGCTACCATCGTCAAGGGTTCAGGCACATAAACTGTTTAAAAGGTATTTTGTGAGCTACCTCATACAAAACCCTTCATCTAAGTTCAGTACTCTGTTTCCAGAATGCCATCAATCAACCCGAACTCCATTGCCTGCGATCCAAAGGGCAGGGAAAAGCACAAAAATCAACTCACATGGGCAAAACAATCTAAAAAATTCAAGTGCAAGGTACAAGTAGTTCATAATATCTGTAAATGTCAAATCGTCCAGAGAATCCAATTTTAGCATTCTCTCATTGCTTTTAACAATTGGAATAGAACTACCATTCATGTTAGATTGGAATGGTCGTGACAACATACCTCTGATGTAGACAAGAAACGATCTCTCTCTGTGTACTGTTGCACAGTCTCAAGAGGTTGGCCAGTAAATGCAGCATACATCTTGTCAACTTTCTGCATTCCAAGTGCCAGACATATCAGATTCCATGAAAGACAGTATTAACAGCCACAGCCCACAGCGTTCTTTAAATGATATAAGCAGTTGCTGGGATTTGAAACTCAGGAATTCAAAGTTGCAGGTTTCAGCAGTGATGAGGTTTTTTCTGGAAGCTCAGTTTCACAACAACCTTCTCTCAGTCAAGAAGAAGACCCATAAGCCTATTTCATGAACTTGGAAATAACTGACAGTTTATTTTCTCAGCCTTCAAGGAGATCAATGTGCATAAAATAAATTCTAGAGGCAGAAAGAGAGAGAGAGAGAAAGTTACATGGCGAGATTGAACAGCTTCATTCACTTGTCGCCTCACATCCTCCACATGACCCTACATGAATGAAATTCAACACACAAATCAAACACTATCTGAGATCAACTAGGTCTTCAGCAGTAGCTACCAGGTATCAATGAACTTAAGGCAATTCAATTTTTGCAACAATATGTTAATTGGGAGGTAGAAGGAACAGCAAGATACCTTTCTCGGCCTTTTGGCTAAGAACTCAATGTATAAGGTACAGCAAGATGCACAAAGATGGTGAAAGAAAAGACAAGGAATTAGAAGATAACTTTGTGAATTAAACCCAAGTCTTCAGGGGAGCTAATTAATTAAGATAGAACCTAGATGTAATATCAATTGCCCACAAGTAAATGGAACTGCAAACACTTCCATGAGACAGTGCGTGTGCCTAAGGTAAGTAATACAAGAGGGAGCCCTAAAAGGACACAGAAACGTGGTTTAGTCAGTCAAAACGTAGTGATGCTACTGCAAGTTATCAAACTGCTGAGGAAGGGAGAAGATCTGATATCCTTGCAACATGAAGCTCATAACTACAATTACAGTTTGTTACGTGCTGGAATTTAGGCAAATAGCAGTTGAATGATTCATGAGCTGTTATGCCACATATGGAATCAAGTATCAACCATTCCACTAATAACAAATTCTGCTTCCTGGTGGTTGCACCTTACATTACATTCAGCTACTAGCAAACAACCGCAAGTTTTCTTTGATTAATTGATCTCTAAGCTACAAGTCATTTCTAACTTACCCCACATCCACTCTGTGGTTGATGTATCATTATTCGGGAATTAGGCATTGCATACCGCATTCCCTTTTCTCCACCAGCAAGAAGAAGCGCTCCTTGGCTTGCAGCTACCCCGAAACATACAGTGCCAACTTTAGGCTTTATCTGAAAACATTAAGACTTAAGAGTGTTGGTAAAGAGCAACTGAAAAAATAACTTGATGCATGATAAGGAAGCAATAAACATGCACATTCAAAGACAATTACTATTGTATATACCCTAACCAACACACCCTAGTTAGCGCTAGATTTCACCTAATTCAGCTCTTAGGAATGTGTGCCAAGTAATAATGTGCCAACGCAGCAGAGACATTAATATCGCTGATGAAATCAGAACAAAATCAAAGATTCAACAGAACTGAAACTAAATTACCCAAGACATGCAGTCATAGATTGCCAACACAGAGTATGTACTTCCACCAGGGCAGTTCAGATACACCTGACAAAATAGAGAAGAGTAAACCACTAGAACTCAGGCTAGCATTTGGCATTTGGTAACAACCACAAGAGAATCCCACAAGAAAAGAGGAACATTGTTCATTGAAAACTTAAGCACACCATAATATCTGCCTTCTCGTCAATAGTCGCTAGAGTCACAAGTTGCGATATGACACGCTGAGCAACTCTTGAATTGACTGGCTGGCCAATGAAGATAATACGGTTTCTAAACAGCACGGATAAGAGATCCAGAGCTCCTCCAGGTGTAATCACTGCTGGCATTATGGGAGGGTTACCCTTCTTCCCATCATCCTCCGCGGACCTGCATGTGATTCGTACAATGACTATTATCAACCTAATTTCAATGGCTTATTGATTCCCCCATCTATTCTGGACCAGTCACGGCTGAAAGATCGAGTGCAAACAGCTAAATTGCTAGTGATTTTAGTTTCTTAAGCATAACTCCCAACAGAAACTTGAGCAACAGCACTATCCCTCTGTCACATGAATGTGATGAAGTCAAGCTAATTTATTCGCCAAACGCTATTCTTGAAGTCTAGAATTTTACTGTCTAGTTGAATAAGAATAGTGATTGGTAAGATCCCATATGTCCATATAGATTCCAACTGACATATATGCTCACGAAACAAACATTTCAGCAAAACCAGCAATATAAAAAAAGGGTAGAAGAAAAACCTGAGGCCAGAACCATGGACAGCCTGGTCGTCTATCTTTAAAGGCAACCCAAAAGCATTCTTCGATATTCCTGGACAAAGGCACATGTGCCTTACAGCAAGTCAGCAACTCAGTTACTTGACTCAATACACACAGTAGTGTTGCCCAAGTATACAACCAGCTGAATCAATATACCCAAAGGGGACATAATTCAAATTACTCGAAACCTCACCATTTGATGAAGAATCGCCGTAGGGACGGGGCAAAGCGGAAGCTACGAGCTTGGTGGATAAGTTTCTGCAAGGGATTCCCACAATTCATGAAATTCGCATTCAATCAAGAGGATATAAATGGGAAGTGAAAACAGAACGTGCTGGGTTTACCTTCGCAAGAATAGAGTAGGGGAGCAGGATTGAGAATGGGAAGAAGGAGAGGAAGAAGAAGAGCAAGAAGATAGGGAGATGCGAAGAGGAGCTGAAAGGCTGGGTGAGGCTGCCATCTCCAAAAGCTGACAGGAAAGATAGTATCCTCTTCGAGAATTGGCGAAGAATGGAGGTAAGGGAAGCTTTGGGCGAGAGACTGCAAAGAGGCGACGGCCAAACGAGTTACCTCTGGCTGGCCGCTGGCTCCCAGTGAAAGCTTTTTTCACGGTCAATATATCGCGATAAATTTTTTATTTATCTTTCTCGTCAATTTAAGTCGTTTCGCTCTCTGCTTGGGCTGGGTGCCCGGGTTCGGGTGAGATTCGCATTTCCCAGGCCCAACAGTGTGGGCCGATATGGTTCAAGTATTTTAACCACAGATCCTAAGCTTCATTCACAATTAACAACCCACCTGGATTTTCAGCCCACATAAATCGCCTTATAATAAGGTTGGGAATTTGGGTGCGGTGTTGACCCGTTAACCCGTTAAATAAAGTGTTTAAAGTGTAGTAGATGGTACATGATACACACGATTGAAATTCTCTCAATAATTCGAATTATTGAGACTAACTGGTTTATAACATGGTATCAGAGCCTTCTGTGACTGAGAGGTCTTCTGTTCGAATCTCGGTGACCCACATTGCTTTCTGTTAAGCACATGATGTATGATGCTTGTGCAAATTTCGAGCTCATATATTATATATGGTGGCTTTTGTTTGAGTGGGTGTGTTAGTAAAAAGTATATGATCCACGATTGAACCTCTCCCAACAACTCAACCGAGATTTTGTTTATCAGTGTCTGAATTAATTAACCGTTCTTGTGACATAAAACAGTTGAATCATAATTGAAACACGATTTCAATCCAAAACATTATGCCAGTAACTATTTCAGAACAAACTCTTTCAGGGTTTTACAACACTAGCTGTTTCTATGTCCCATCTCCATCTCCATCTCCATCTCCACCGTCCACTTTCATCGGCTAACCGCAAAGCGGAAAGAAGGAGATTGAACTCAAACCGATTAAGCATTCCATCCGATTCGACTCGATTCTGATTTTGGCCAACCCAATCGACCAGGTTAAGAGCGAACCAGAGAAAAGCAGAAAACAGCTGGAATGAAATTGGAAAGCGAAACATTTCAATGATTTGAAACCACCAACCAAACTGTAGACCAAATTTGTTGATAGATATATGGGACTGAATTCCTCTGTGCTCTGTCCGGTCAGTTTCCTCCTGCGCCACGTAGACGCGCGAGATCCATGGATGGGTTGGAGCTAGCAGACAGACGGAGATTTGACCAAAATTAGAGAAAGCAAAGTTTCTGCGAAAAAATTGAAGTGTCACCTAACTGCTTTTCTGGATTTATGCATGATAGTCTGGAATGGATCCTCCTTTTTTAAAAAGCTGCAGTTGACTTGCGCACAAACTAGTAGTAGTATTCAATTCGAATTGTTGGTTTGCGCTGCGCTGTGCTTGCCGCACATGTATGGTGCTAGGCGAGCTAGTTTACTGCTGCTAAGGTCAACGCCCTCCTCCCACCACCAAAAACGAGAGTAGCAACAAAACAACATCACCACCAGTAGTGGGATCCATCAAACAGCACAGTGCTACAGTGCATTAGTGCTTTGAGCGTGAGATATCAAAAATACAATTTCGACTATAGATCAATCGAGAAAAACGAATGTTCTCGTTTTACAAATCGAGTCGATTTGAATTGTTTGTGCCATATAATTGGAACCGACTCTAGATGGGTCGTGATTCGAAATTTTTCGAGGTCGTGTTGATTTAATTCAAATTTTATGCTAGAAAACCGGTCAGTCTTATTCGGTTAACTCGAAACGAGACAATTCGTTATAAATTTCTCATGTAAACGAACCTAATTATTTTTATCTACAGTGGGACATTTCATCATTCACAAAAAAAAAAAAGTTTATATTATAACGCAATCAGTTATTCACACGCATGGCCATTTTGCACGCACTTCTACAATACATTAAGTAAGTGTAAACGAATGGGAGTGCGCGCGTGACAAAGTAGCTAGCTAATGTGCGTGAATATACGTGAATCTGTGTGAATGATTGTTAGATGTGCGTGAAAACATAGATTTTGCACGTGAATGTGGTATGATCAATGATGCCTCACTGTGAGGAACATCTACCTTTTTCCGATACCCAAAATGACGTTTTTTTAAAATCTGGTGAGCGTTTTTATAATGAATTTTATATCCTCTGGTTACATGATATATATTCAAATAATAGGTTTGAAGTTTGCATAACTCCATCGTTATATTTACTCAGATCAATTGTTGATATCAGAGTTACAAGAATATTCAAATACGAGATCTTTTTGATCATCATGATCGCGATTCGGGTATCATATCAAGAACCGATTGTTTCTACGTATTCAGAACTGTTGGAGGAGAGATTTTCAGAATGGACCTTATACGAACTTCATATTGGAGAACCATTGATAAAATAATCCAACCACAAAACTAGCTAACAGAAAGAACGTCACTGACCAAACTGCCTTAACTATTTGCCTTAACCACAAAACGAACAACACTGAAAAAACGAAACGTACGTCCAGCCACATGCGCGCTTCACTATATTAGGGCTCCATCTTATTATTAATTTTTATATATATATATATATATATATATATATATATTTTTACAGAGCTGACTGGCCGGTGATCGATCCGGTCTAGCCGCCATGTGATTGCGTGTTGTGGTAGATGATGGCGGTGGTCAGGGTGTCGAAATCCTTCACGAACCGGTTTATCGCCACCTTCTTCTCCCCCTCCACGGCGGCGGCATGGTCGCCGTCGCCGGCGGCCTCGAAGACGAGCAGTTCTTTGATGGATTTGGGAAGAGGCTCGTCCTTCATCACTTTCTTCCAGTACTCCTCCGTCGTCGTCGTCGACGCCGGCTCTTTCCTTATTGCGTCGTTCCCTCTGAAATTCGCCTGTATTGATATGATATCAGATTCACAGTGAGAATATTGTACACAGAAATATGGAAAAGAGTAAAATGAGTTTAGTTAGTTAATTACCAGTAAAAGGCAGAGGAGGAGGCAGAGAACAAGGCTGGATTTCATGGCTGTGTATGTTTATTTCTCTGTTTTGTTGTTGGAGAGGGGAAGGTGGTGAGGGGGAGTATTCAACTATGGTGTCCATTGGTTATTTATAATGGTGAATGGAAGGACATGGAAGTTATTATTATATTATTTCCACTAAAAGAACAAAAATGGTATTTTTTTTTTTTGTTTCCAAAAAACAAAAATGGTGTTGTTATTATTATAATAATTCTAATTCTAATTGACCAGCAGGCTGCAAGAGCCTTTGTTTATTAGTAAAATACTTTTCTTACAGAAAGTCAGTGGAATGTGGATTGATACATATCGGCTAAGCCATAATTATGCTCAAGTTGGTTCGTGGTAAACAAATTAGTAAAGAAATCTCTTTTTATGGTAGAAAAAAAGACGTTTTTGGAATTTGATTCCAAAACTTTTATGTCTCAGATTATATGTTTTCATATAAGGCACGGCGCAACGCGATATCACCTTAATTAAGATCACCTGAAGATAGAAAATTAGGAATATTGTTTTTGCAGGCAAATTAAATTGTGACATAACCGGCCTCGGGTTTACTTACTTCGACAAATCAATTCCACACTGCTCAATTGTAGTAGCAAAGATCTGCTACCCTCTTTTTGGCAGGTTCGGTTGGAGCACACAGATCGATCATGAAGCAAAATTTGTACTTGATTATCTATTTATCTTACCTCGTTATTAGGAAACATTAGGAAACACATTTAGTTCTCTAAGAATATATATATTCTTGATTCACTTTGTAACCCGCTCGAATTATTCTATCCCATTTCAGATTGAATTAAACTTCCAATTTCATCAATCGATAAAGATAACTCGACCTTTTAAAAGTCGCGATTTCGGTAACCGGTAAAATTCAGGTGTTCAGGCTATATGTCACCAATAATTTTATTTTAGGTATACAATATGTCCCTAATAGTTCAAAATTTTGGCTACGTTCATCTTGGTGGTGGACGGCAACCGTTACTGTCCAGATGCTTTTGCTTACCTATCTTCCTTAGGTCAGATGCTGTTTTTTTTTTCTTTTCTCGAAAGATATTAAAGATATATGCAACATGTCACGATTAACTCATATCATGTAATGTTGGCCTGCCTGCAGTATAAAAAATATATCCTTCCATGCATAAGATCATACATACAAGATAATTAATTAGGGATATAATTATGGATTAAGTTAAACACAGAAAGTTGACAAAGGAAATGAAGTCACATGTTAAATAAGTGACAACATATACAATTTTTGGTATTATAGTTCACCAACGAATCATTATGCAGCAAAGAAATTAAAGCTGTATATATATAGGTTCAAAGCCAAAACCCTATTGCTTCATCGTGATCGATCACCAAACACAGTTAGCTGTACGAAAATGGAGTCATTGTCAACTCCCGAGCTAGTTTAATTTTATAATCTATTCGTTAATTAATCTGTCCTTAGAGTTAGAGTTGCACAGGGAACCAATCTGGGATCAATTAGGTTTTAGGGTTGACTCACAACAGAAGATGCCGCCAGTAATATTTAAGAACAAGGAAGGGGACAAAGATTCATATATATGCATGTATTAATTCCAATGTGTTGTTAAACGTTTGCATAGTTTCTTTTGAGAAGAAAAAAAAACTAAGACTATATATAGTATATTGAATGGCATAGCAAACCATGATCTTAGTACTTCTTGTAATCAATTTGTATTTCCTTCGTTTTAATTTGGATTTAAAATTTTTTTGAATGGAACAAACGGGTTCATTATGATTTACAAAACGATTTTCTATTTTATGTATATTTCATACCATCATGGTATGTTGTGGTAAAAGAATATCTCGAATAACGTTTATCTTTTGTTTGTTTCTAAAGCGTTAAGGTGTATATCTTTTTCTAGAACATAATTGATATAATTTTTTTGTGAAAATTTTGAAATTCCATTTAAAATGATTTTTACATTTTTAATGGGGCAATAATTGTACTGTGGTCATTAACGTGGTTACTAACCGAATCTTCTTTCGAGAAAAAAATCTACTTTGCCTTTGTTGATACTCAACAATTTTACCAAATTCATTCAATATCTAGTTACATCTCATGTTTGTATATGAAATTCATCGAGCTATACTTCTTTGCTTACTCCACATCAACAAAATTAAGCTTTTCATCAATCTAGCTTGGACCGCGCTATGAACTGCATGCGACAAAACTATTTTATAACAATATAAGATTGAACAAATATTTCCAAAAAAAAACATTAAGGTTACTTCAAACTTTACAGAGAGCTCTGAGTGTCGATCCACCTAGTTAAAGGAGTGACACAATTTGATTATTTGATAGATATATGATATATGCGTAGCTTTAAACTTTATCAAACTAACTAAAAAGAAAATAAATATATGGCCAATAGGAAGTTTGACTTTGTAATTTAAAATGCTGAAAAAATAATAAAGATAACTATAATAATTTCGTCAAATGATCTCACAATTAAAGGAACTGATGTCAAATCTTTGCTGGAAAAGGTGGCACGTCGTCAATCGCCAACAATATATATAGTGGCCCATTAAACATGGTCAATACTCGATCAGTACACTTATCTCTCACACGTACACTTTTGGAGCTTTGACATTTAATTGTTTATCCATCATGATTAATTAGTTTGGTGAGTGGTGATAAGTAGCAATTGCATTTTGAACACGTCTAGTTGATATTATCCGATTTGATTTGTGTTGAAAAGAGTAATATACAAATCACGGTATGTAGTATGAGATGGAGTATGACACTATTTCCTTATCGTCCCGCTTCTTCTTGACCCGTCTTTGTTTATCTTAAACTTATCGATCATTTAACCGTTCGAAAGAAAAATAAATGACAAAACCCATTACGAGTGGTGTGATTAATAAATGCACAAATCTGAGTTTAGGGGGCGTTGGTTTTAAGCCTTGGTAGCTACCACTCCTACCTTATTTTCGTAGTGATCATTGACAAGATTGTTGTACCCGTTAAAACCAATCTCATGAGTTTATCGTCTTATCAAATGATCAGGAAAATCAAAATTTATTGTTTTTTTTACATGTTTTCTCCCGACAATAATAAATAAATTATTTTGAAACCGCTTCTCTAATTAATTGATTGGTGGAAAGGATATGCTAACTAGGGCTTAAGAAATTAGGACAAAGGGACAAATTTCAGAAGGTGGAAGAAAGTGATGTTATGTCAGCCCATGTTTAATGGAAGAAACTAGAAAGTGATGGCTACTAATTGCTAAATATATTAGGGTTTATGTTAATTCAATCAGATTTAAATAAAAATGTCCGAATAAATTAAAAAATTAATGGGGTACAATTGTACTTATTAGCAAGTAGTGATAGGCTTAAGTGGGTCAACTATTGGATATCTTGCATGACTCCATCGTTGATCCTCAGCTGACTAATATGAAACCAGCTACTATGATAATTAATTAAGACCAACGATAGTGGAAGTAGGTGCGGCTAAGATATACAAATTTGAGAAATAGAGGCATTAAACTAAGTAAGAAGTCGAAACTTTAAAATAGACAGTAGTCCCATCCCCTATGGCGGCAGGTGAAATTTTTATATATTTAACTACCACGAAATAAAATCATACTTGAGAGTATGATATAGGCGTAGAGGAATTTTACAACGCTGTAAAGCAATTAGTGTTTTACCGTTATGGTATAATTTAAAGAATTTAGAGGACAAACTAGAAGCAAGTCATCATATTATACAGGGACGGAGCTAGGATTCTTGATGGGGGGAGGGGGAATTTCAATATAATTATGGCGATGAGAAAATATATAAGAAAAATATTACGAATAATTCATTCATTTTTTAGTGTACAGTTCACGTAAAATTGAGTAGAAATTACAAAAGTCTTGATTTATCTCTTCTAAACTGGTAATAAATTAATCATGTGTTTCATATTATACTTACCAATTTCGTAATTCAATATATATAGAGTCTAATAGTAAAATAAATTAGTCAAGATTTATCATTTTTTTATAAGATTTAACCATTTTATAGAGACAAAGATCATTACATATTTTAAAAGAAGTAACAAGACACTTGCAAAACAATTGACAAAAAGTCTAAGAAGTACATGAAATGTCTCTTGTAAACTCATGATAAAAGAACCATATGTTTCATATATTAGATAATTTATCAATTTCATAATTCACAACTTCATATACATTCCTCTATTAAAATGAAGTAGTCAAGATTTAACTATTTATATAGAGAAAGATCATGATGTTTTTTAAAGAAATATAAAGCCACCTACAAAGAAATTGACAAGAAGCTTGAAATTGAATACATCGAAAACTAATATAACTAAGCTAAATTGACAAGAAGCTTGAAATTGAATACATTGAAAACTAATATAACTAAGCTAAACAATCCAGACTGGGTTAAAATTAAACTAACTAACTAAGCACAAGCACAAAAATAGAACAGAAGCAGGGGTTTGAACTCAATACCTCTTGAAATAAGCGTTATCAGTTATTCTCATAACCACTAAGCCACCAAAAACTAAATGTAACATTACTACGTTTTATAAAATTTTGACAATCTTAAGGGGGGCCATAAGCACACGATGGCTCTGTCCCTGATGTTATAGTTTTGCTATGGGTTTGCGGCTTTAACTCCTTCACCTAAGGTAAAGGTTTGGTTTTTTTTATATTATATGCATGCCTTCTCAGTTACGAGTTAATACTAATTACCAGAAATCAATCACGACATGCGACATGTTGGCACATAATTAACATGAAACAACGTAGCACAAAATGTCCAATAAGTGTGTTAAGAGGCCAAAAGAACAGGAGACATTTCGGGACTCGAGAAACCGCTTCGTTCGATTATTTGTTAGATTTCTACCCATCAAGATAGAAACTCAAATTCACTGCAATGAATTCATCGTCAAGCACAACAACAACGTATACAACAACAAATTCACTGCAATAATAGATTTTGATTCATAATTAGCCAGGATCCAGTTCCCATATGTTGTTGCATGGGCTTCAACCTCCACAAAACAACAGAGAGAGATCGTAAGCTACAAAGTCAACGA